TGGTCCGGATCCATCATCTGTGGGATTCATGGTATACTATGAAGTAGTGAACTACAAATCCCATCATGGGGGTTCAGTCACCCCCAAACCCTACCAGTATGTTCTGTATGCCATGGAGATTCTGTGTGCCAAGTCTGGTCCAGATCCATCATCAGTGGGATTCACAATACACTAAGAAGTGGTGAACTACAAATCCCATCATTGGGGTTCAGTCACCCCCAAACCCTACCAGTATGCCATGGAGATTCTGTGTGCCAAGTTTGGACCAGATCCATCATCAGTGGGATTCACAGTACACTAAGAAGTGGTGAACTACAAATCCCATCATGGGGGTTCTGTCACCCCCAAACCCTACGAGTATGTTCTGTATGCCATGGGGGTTCTGTGTGCCAAGTTTGGACCAGATCTGCCATCGGTGGGATTCACAGTGCATTAAAATGGTGTGAACTACAACTCCCATCATGTTGTGTCAGTGCCCTCAGAACCCTCTCACTATGTTCTGAATGCCATGGGGGTTCTGGGTGCCAAGTCTGGTTCAGATCCATCATCAGTGGGATTCACAGTACACTATGAAGTGGTGAACTTCAAATCCCATCATGGGGGTTCAGTCACCCCAAAACCCTACCAGTATGTTCTACAACTACAACTCCCATCATGCTGAGTTAGTGCCCTCACAACCCTCCCAGTATGTTCTGTATGCCAAGTGGGTTCTGTGTGTCAAGTTTGGTCCAGATCTGTCATCTGTGGGATTCATGGTATACTATGAAGGGGCGAACTACAACTCCCATCATGCTAGGTCATTGTATGAACAATAAACTATAATAATAATAATAATAATAATAATAATAATAATAATAATAATAATCAATTGAAAGGGATCTAGGTGTCTTAGTGGACCATGGATGAGATATAAATAATAATAATAATATCATACAGTAATACTATATTATTATTATTATTATTATTATTATTATTATTATTATATGTTAATAATATAATAAATGAATAATAAACTATAATAATAATAATAATAATAATAATAATAATAATAATAATAAATTGAAAGGGATCTAGGTGTCTTAGTGGACTATGGATGGGATATAAATAATAATAATATCATACAGTAATACTATAATAATAATAATATATTATTATTATTATTATTGTATGTTAATAATATAATATATGAATAATAAACTATAATAATAATAATAATAATAATAATAATAATAATAATAATAATAATAATAATTGATTGAAAGGGATCTAGGTGTCTTAGTGGACTATGGATGGGATATAAATAATAATAATATAATGTAGTAATACTATAATAGTAATATTATATATATATATATATATGTATATATGTATATATATATATATATGTATAATAAACTATAATAATAATAATAATAATAATAATAATAATAATAATAATAATCAATTGAAAGGGATCTAGGTGTCTTAGTGGACCATGGATGAGATATAAATAATAATAATAATATCATACAGTAATACTATATTATTATTATTATTATTATTATTATTATTATATGTTAATAATATAATAAATGAATAATAAACTATAATAATAATAATAATAATAATAATAATAATAATAATAATAAATTGAAAGGGATCTAGGTGTCTTAGTGGACTATGGATGGGATATAAATAATAATAATATCATACAGTAATACTATAATAATAATAATATATTATTATTATTATATGTTAATAATATAATATATGAATAATAAACTATAATAATAATAATAATAATAATAATAATAATAATAATAATAATTGATTGAAAGGGATCTAGGTGTCTTAGTGGACTATGGATGGGATATAAATAATAATAATATAATGTAGTAATACTATAATAGTAATATTATATATATATATATATATATATATATATATATATATATAATAAACTATAATAATAATAATAATAATAATAATAATAATAATAATCAATTGAAAGGGATCTAGGTGTCTTAGTGGACCATGGATGAGATATAAATAATAATAATAATATCATACAGTAATACTATATTATTATTATTATTATTATTATTATTATTATTATTATATGTTAATAATATAATAAATGAATAATAAACTATAATAATAATAATAATAATAATAATAATAATCAATTGAAAGGGATCTAGGTGTCTTAGTGGACTATGGATGGGATATAAATAACAATAATATCATACAGTAATACTATAATAATAATAATATATTATTATTATTATATGTTAATAATATAATATATGAATAATAAACTATAATAATAATAATAATAATAATAATAATAATAATAATAATAATAATTGATTGAAAGGGATCTAGGTGTCTTAGTGGACTATGGATGGGATATAAATAATAATAATATAATGTAGTAATACTATAATAGTAATATTATATATATATATATATATATATATATATGTATATATATATATATATGTATAATAAACTATAATAATAATAATAATAATAATAATAATAATAATAATCAATTGAAAGGGATCTAGGTGTCTTAGTGGACCATGGATGAGATATAAATAATAATAATAATATCATACAGTAATACTATATTATTATTATTATTATTATTATTATTATTATTATTATTATTATTATATGTTAATAATATAATAAATGAATAATAAACTATAATAATAATAATAATAATAATAATAATAATCAATTGAAAGGGATCTAGGTGTCTTAGTGGACTATGGATGGGATATAAATAACAATAATATCATACAGTAATACTATAATAATAATAATATATTATTATTATTATATGTTAATAATATAATATATGAATAATAAACTATAATAATAATAATAATAATAATAATAATAATAATAATAATAATTGATTGAAAGGGATCTAGGTGTCTTAGTGGACTATGGATGGGATATAAATAATAATAAATAATATAATATATAATATAATATTATATATATATATATATATATATATATATATATATATATGTATAATAAACTATAATAATAATAATAATAATAATAATAATAATAATAATCCATTGAAAGGGATCTAGGTGTCTTAGTGGACCATGAATGGGATATAAATAATCATACTATAATAATAAAATAATATATAAAAATAATATAATATTAATAATATATTATTATCTAATATATTAACATATTATATAATAATAATAATAAATAATAATAATAATAATATAATAATATATTGGTATTATTAATATTTTTCCGTTATCAGTATTATTCCATTGAAAGGGATCTAGATGCCTTAGTGGACGATGAACAGGATATAAATAATAATACTATGATAATAATATAATATATGAATAATAAACTATAATAATAATAATAATAATAATCTATTGAAAGTGGTCTTGATGTCTTAGTGGACATAAATAATAATACAATAATAATAATAATATAAATAATAATACAATAATAAAAAATAATATAGAAAAATAATATAATATTTTAATAATACAAGATGCGAATAATAAACTACAACAACAACAACAACAACAACAACAACAATAACAATTATTGAATGTGATCTTGGTGTCTTAGTGGACCATGAACGGGATATAAATAATAATACTATAATAATAAAATAATATATAAAATAATATAATATGATAATAATATAATATAATATATGAATAATAATAATAATAATAATAATAATAATAATAATAATAATAATAATAATAATAATAAGCTATTGAAAGTGATCTGGGTGTCTTAGTGGACATAAATAATAATACAATAATAATAAATAATATAATATATGAATAATAATAATAATAAGCTATTGAAAGTGATCTTGGTGTCTTGGTAGACATAAATAATAACACAATAATAATAATAAAAATAAATAATACAATAATAAAAATAATATATATAAATAATATAATATGCTAATATTACAATATACGAATAATAATACAATAATAAAAAATAATATCTAAGAATAATATAATATGCTTATAATACAATATATTAATAATAAACTATAATAATAATAATAATAATGTATTGTAAGTGATCTTGGTGTCTTAGTGGACATAAATAATAATAATATAATAATAATAATAATAATAATAAATAAATAATACAATAATAAAAATAATATAATATGTTAATATTACAATATACGAATAATAATAATACAATAATAAAAATAATATTATATGTTAATAATACAATATACGAATAATACAATAATAAAAATATATAAAAATAATATATGTTAATAATAATAATAATATAATATGTTAATAATAATATTGTATTATTTATTTTTAATACAATAGTAATAAAAATAGATAATACAATAATAAAAATAATATATAAAAATAATATAATATGTTAATAATACAATATACAAATAATATTACAATAATAATAATAATATAAAAATAATATATAAAATGCAATATATGAATAATAATACAATAATAAAAATAATATATAAAAATAATATAATATGTTAATAATACAAAATACGAATAATAATAATATTATAATAATATATAAAAATAATATAATATTTTAATAATACAATATACGAATAATAAACTATAATAATAATAATAATAATAATGTATTGTAAGTGATCTTTGTGTCTGAGTGGACATAAATAATAATTCAATAATAATAATAAAAATAAATAATACAATAATAATAAGTAATATATGTGAATAATACAATATACAAATAATAAACTATAATTAATAATAATAATATAAAAATAATCGTAAGCAGGAGCCAAGAGAGCGATCCTAAATATAACTTCCCTAAAACTCCCTGTAACTTTAAACCGGCGAGATCAGATGTGTCTCTGAGGGGTGGATCCAAAGAGAAGTCCAGCAGGGCGGGACAGTCTTGTGTTTTTTGGACCTCATCAATCCTCACTCCCAGTTGAAGCCAGGCGGCCGAGTGAGCTTGCTCCCCGGGACTTGACCGCCCGGAAAGCGAGAGGATGTGGCGCAAGGCTGGGCTGCCCTTGGCCTTCCTGCTTGGCACCCTATGGCTCTGCTCCGCTTCGGCCCAGGAAGGTAAGCACAGACCGAAAGGCAGGCACTCCACTCATGCTCGCTTGCTTCTTCTCTTTCATTTCCTAATTTTGCTTTATTTTGCTTTTTTTCTAAACCATCGCTTTATTTTTCTTTAATATTCCTTTATATTTTCCTATTTTAATTTTTTTGCTACAGTTTTTCTATCTTTATTTTTTCTGCATTTCCTTGTATTCTTTCTTTATTTTCCCTATATGTTTTCTTTACTTCCCGAACCATCGCTTCATTTTTCTTTAATATTTCTTTATATTTTCCTTTATAAAAATTTTTTTCTACATTTTCTCTCTCTTTATTTTTTCTTTAGTTTTCCTGCATTTTTATATCCTTTCTTTATTTTCCCTATATATTGTCTTTACTTCCCTATATAAATATTTCTTTATATTTTCCTTTTTTATTTTTTTTTCTACATTTTCTCTCTTTATTTTTTCTTTAGTTTTCCTGCATTTTTATATCCTTTATTTTCCCTATATATTTTCTTTACTTCCCTATTTATTTTTCTTGATTATTTCTTAATTTTTCTTATTTTCTTTCTTTATTATTGCTTTTTTCCTTTCTTTTCCTATATTTTTCTTTACGATTTCTTTATTATTTCTTAATTTTACTTATTTTTTCTTTATTATTGCTTTTTTCCTTTCTTTTCCTATATTTTTCTTTACGATTTCTTTATTATTTCTTAATTTTACTTATTTTTTCTTTATTATTGCTTTTTTCCTTTCTTTTCCTATATTTTTCTTTACGATTTCTTTATTATTTCTTAATTTTACTTATTTTTTCTTTATTATTGCTTTTTTCCTTTCTTTTCCTATATTTTTCTTTATGATTTCTTAATTTTTTCTTTATTAACTCTTAATTTTTCCTTTCTTTTCCTATATTTTTCTTTAAAATTTCTTAATTTTTTCTTTATTAATTCTTAATTTTTCCTTTCTTTTCCTATATTTTTCTTTAAAATTTCTTAATTTTTCTTTATTAATTCTTAATTTTTCCTTTCTTTTCCTATATTTTTCTTTATGATTTCTTAATTTTTTCTTTATTCTTAATTTTTCCTTTCTTTTCCTATATTTTTCTTTAAAATTTCTTAATTTTTTCTTTATTAATTCTTAATTTTTCCTTTCTTTTCCTATATTTTTCATTACATTTTCTTTATTTTGCTTTTTTTTAACCATCGCTTTATTTTTCTTTAATATTTCTTTATATTTTCCTATTTTAATTTTTTTCTACATTTTTCTCTCTCTTTATTTTTTGATATCCTTTCTTTATTTTCCCTATATATTGTCTTTACTTCCCTATATATTTTTCTTTATTATTTCTTAATTTTTCTTATTTTTTTCTTTATTTCTTTTTCCTATTTTTTTCTTTATTTTTTCTTATTTTTTCCCTTTATTTTTGTATTTTTTTCTTTAAAATTTCTTTATTATTTCTTAATTTTTACTTTCCTTTCCTATTTTTTCTTTAAAATTTCCTTATTTTTTCTTTACTTTTTAATTTTCCGTTTCTTTTCCTATTTTTTTCTTTAAAATTTATTTTTTCTTTAACATTTCATTATTTTTTTCTTTATTATTTCTTAATTTTTCCTTTCTTTCCCTATATTTTTTGTTACATTTTCTTTATTTTTCTTTATTTCTAAATTTTTCCTTTATTTTCCTTTTTTTAAGTATTTTTCTTTATTATTTCTTTTTTTCCTTTCTTTTCCTATATTTTTCATTACATTTTCTTTATTTTTCTTTATTATTTCTTTTTTTTTCTTTATTTTCCTATTTTTTCTATATAGTTTTATTATTTCTTTTTTTCCCTTTATTTTTGTATTTTTTTAAAAAAAAATCTTTATTTTTCTTTATTTCTTAATTTTTCCTTTCTTTTCCTATTTTTTTCTATATTTTTCTTTATTATTTCTTAATTTTTTCCTTTCTTTTCCTATATATTTCTTTACGTTTTCTTTATTTTTTATTATTTCTTACTTTTTCCCTTTATTTTATGTATTTTCATGTATTTTTCTTTATCTCTTAATTTTTCCTTTATTTTTTTATATTTTTCTTGTATTTTTCTTTATTATTTCTTAATTTTTCTTTTGTTTTCCTTTATTATTTATCGCCTTTTTTATTATTTATTGCTCTATTTCTTTTTCCCTATATTTTTTCTTTATTTTCCTCTGTTTTTCTTTAATTTTCCTGGGTGGAGTCATGCAAATTCCACACCAATGGAGAGAGTCAGGAACACTGGGATGTCTGTGGTGGAGGAAACACATACCATCTAGGGCAGGGGTAGGGAACCTTTGGCCCTCCAGCTGTGGTGGACTTCAACTCCCACAATTCCTTGAGGCTCGGCATTCGCGCCAAAGGCTTACCTTGGCCCAATGCCGAGCCTCAAGGAATTGTGGGAGTTGAAGTCCACCACAGCTGGAGGGCCAAAGGTTCCCTACCCCTGATCTAGGGTGAAATTGTCCTGAATGGAAGCCTTCCCTTGGGTGGTGGGCTGTGTGGTGTTGGTGGACATTGGCAGGGCTCTTGGACAGGTTCCTGGTGCCCATGGAGAGAGTAAGGAACACTGGGATGTCTGTGGTGGAGGAAACACATGACATCTAGGATGGAATTGTCTCCGAATGAAAGGCTTCCCTTGGGTGGTGGGATGGATGGAGGGCCTTTGGTGCCTCCTGAGGAGTGGGAGATATCGCTGTCCGTGGAAGTGGACACTCCAAGTAGCCACATACACACAGGCAGATTTCTACTTTTATTATGTGTATAGATAGAAGATAGATCTACTGGATATGTATATGTTCATGTATATTATGTATGTGCGTATCTATCTGTCTGTCTGTCTGTCTGTCTGTCTGTCTGTCTGTCTGTCTGTCTGTCTATCTATCTATCTATCTATCTATCTATCTATCTATCTATCTATTTAAATATCTAAATATCTATCTATCCACCCACCCACCCATCCCTCCATCCATCATCTCTACTATCCATCCATCCATCATCTATACCATCTCTCTCTCTCTCTCTCTCTATCTATCTATCCATCCATCTATATTCCTATCTATCTATCTATCTATCTATCTATCTATCTATCTATCTATCTATCTATCTATCTATTTATCTATCTAGATATCCATCCATCCACCCACCCCACCCATCCATCCAGTCATCTCTCCATCTATCAACCATTGCGTGTTCATGGTGTCTCTTCTGTCCATCTATCTATCCATCCATGCATCCATCCATCATCTGTACCATCCATCCATCCAACTATCTAGATATCCATCCATCCATCCATCTACCTACTCATCCATCATCTGTACCATCTATCTATCTATCTATCTATCTATCTATCTATCTACCCATCCACCCAACCCATCCATCCATCCATCCATCCATCTATCTAGATATCCATCCATCTATCTACCTACCCATCCATCCATCCATCCATCACCTGTACCATCTATCTCTATCTATCTATCTATCTATCTATCTATCTATCTATCTATCTATCTATCTATCTATCTATCTATCCAACCACCCACCCACCCAACCCATCCATCCTTCCCTCTCTCTGTTTATCCATCCACCCATCATCTTCTCTCTCTCTGTTCATCTATCTATCGATCTATTGATCTATCAATCTATCTATCCATCCATCCATCCATCCATCCATCCATCCATCCATCCCTCTATCTATCTATCCATCTATCTATCTATCCATCCATCCATCCATCCATCCATCCATCCATCCATCCATCCATCATCTGTACTATCCATCCATCTATCCGTCCATCCATCCTTCATCTGTACCATCTGTACCACCTGGAACTATCTATCCATCCATCCATCCGTCCATCCATCATTTGTACCATCTGAACCATCTGGATCTATCTATCTATCTATCCATCTATCTACCCACCCACCCACTCACCCACCCACCCATCCAGTCATCTGTCTATCTGTCAACCATTGCATGTTCATGGTCTACGAGATCCCTTCAGCCTGGACTACATGACATATTGACTTCCTTTGGCTGCAGCCTGGGACGCTGCCCTCCGACGACTTCCCTCGGGCCTTTTCAAACTTTCCTTTTCATCCCTATTTGCGTCTCCTCCCCTTTAAATATTTGATGCCTCCAAGCAGGAGGGAAGGAAGCCCTGTGTTCAATATTTGATGGGAAGGGAAGCCTGGCGAGAGGAGGCTCATTAGGACCTTCCAAAACAGGAAGCCACTTCATCTTCCCTTCCTAAACCTTCAATGGACTCTCTCTCTCTCTCTCTCTCTCTCTCTCTCTCTATACATATATATATATATACATAATGACTTCCTTAAAGACACTATACATCTCTATCGATGCAGACTAGGATCACATTGGGATTTTTTTTTTGCTGCAGCATCACACTTCTGGCTCATGTATTATTATTATTATTATTATTATTATTATTATTATTATTATTATTATTACTATTATTATTTCTATCTTGATTTTCTCTTGTTGAACATCAGGAAACAATAGCAATAATAATAATAATAATAATAATAATAATAATAATAATAATAATAATAATAATTCCAAGACAAGGAATCATGAAAAAATATTCCCAATAATAATCATAAAAAATATTCCCCAAAATAATCATTAAAATACTCACAGAAATAATCATGAAGAAAATCCCAAAAATAATCATGGAAAAATATTCATAACATAATCATTCAAAATACTCACAAAAATACTCATGGAAAAATATTCCCAAAAATTATCATGAAAAATATTCCAAAAAATAATCATGAAAAAATATTCAAAAAAATCATGAAAAAAATTCCCAAAAGAAATCATGGAAATATTCTCAAAAATAATCATACAAATATTCCCAAAAATAATGATGAAAAATATTCCTAAAATAATCATGAAAATATTCCCAAAAATAATCATGGAAATATTCGCAAAAATAATATTCACTAAAATCCTTAAAAATACTCACAAAAATAATCATGGAAATCTTCCCTAAA